GGACTATTGGTAAATTAAGCGGAGAGATAATAGCTATTCGTGTAGATTCTATTAGCTAACGAATTACCAAATCTAAGTAGGCTATACCAAACTCTATTATTATTCTAAGTCGACTTGCTTCGTAAATCTATTAAGTCTTTATTCTACGTAGTTGGAAGCTTTCGCGCCCAGGCTTGAATCTTTTAGTATTCCCAAAGTGGTGTCGCTATCTATCTACTTCTTAGAGCTACTTAGCCCCTCTGTACATCGGGAGATGACTACCGAACAGCTAACTTGCTCTTTTCGCGGATTGTCTCGCCGTAGTAGTATAGGACGTATGGAACAGGTGTAACGACCGCGCTAATGCACCCGAGCGCCGTTAGCGTCCAATGTGTTCCTAGATTCTTGTACATTAGTATACCAACAACTGTCCTACTTCTAGTTAGTCTTATAAAATGTTATTGGGTAGATTTTAGGGCTAAAACCTACATAACGCCAGCTATGACATAACGCACAATAGTTACGAAGGTCAGCGCAGATGCGGCGTATATCTGATAGCTGTCGATGATGTACATATATGAACTTATAAAGATACATACAGTACCAAGCCCAATAGTAACAGAAGCAGCGAGTGGTGACCAGATTGATATAGTTGGCTGCTTAGCGTTAATTAACTGACAAAGAAGTACCAAGTGGGATTGTATCCTTACAGTATCCGTCCAGCCCATCCAGATTAGCCCAATTGGCAGGAGTGGTGCCCCAAACATAGCAAACATGAGTCTTGACTCTTGCGGAATTGATTGTCCAGAGCCGTCATCACCTTTCTCGAGGCATAACTGGTCCATTTTTGCTAAAATGAATGGAAAAAGGGCAGTCGATAGCAGGATACCGACTAATAGGCCGAGAAAACACAAGTTTTTTAGTCCTTGATCTATCCCATAGGTCTGCCCGAATATATATGGGTAGCCCACAAGGAAAGTGAACATAACCACGTAAATGATTGTATTGTACAACGTGAGGAAGAGCACAATTGGCTCTAGTGCTAGACGAAAGGGTCGCGTAAAATCCTTTTTGAGTAGGCTCCTAGGTCCTGCTTCATCAATTTCTTTCGCCGTTTTGAAACGATCGTCCCCTGTCAACACCCTGAGCTGTTTTGCTTTCGTTTGAAGAAGCTGGGGTGCGAATGTCTCTTCCATCCCGAGCACTACCATCAGTATGCAGAAACCATTTAGAATGACAACTAGCCACTCAGCCCAGCGCCAACTTGTATATCTGCTTTGTCCAATGTAACTTGCAATTACTGGGGCTAATGCTGGCCCTCCAAAACCTACTACAGCAAACATTGGAAAAGCCCAAGTCATCTCCTTAGTATTCCAGAGATCACTCATACTGCCTCCTGCGACTGTAAGGGGAGCAGATGCAAAAAGCCCTGCCAAAAACCGGAAAACAATAAGAGAGCCTGAGTTCTGCGCCAAAGCGGACCCTAGCAGCCAGCACTCGCATACACAAAGGGAGTATAGGTATACAGAGTAGCGGCCTAAGATCTCTGATGCTGGTGCCGCTAGTAAAGCACCAAGCCCAAAGCCTACAAGATAGGTCCCTGTGCCGCTAAATGCTTGTAGAGTCTCTGAGGCATGGAAGAATTGCGCAGCTTGTGGTGCTACGGGTGACTCAATGGCGCTAGCGACCGTCATAACTGCCGCAATTAGATCTAAAAGTAACAGAGTTCTAATCCGTTTCTTTAAAGACCAATTACGAGGGTTGAAAGAATCCGAAGTAGATTCCCAGTCAACTCTGTAGAACGATTCGCCGGTTGTCGTGGTCTGTATAGAGACTCCAGCCATATTTGTGTATGGGTAGTTTCTGTCAACAATGCTGCAGCTACCATTGCTCGCCTCTTGCTCGTGTGGATCGGGTGGTACTCTTTCGAAAGACGTAATGTAGACGCTGAGTTGGGATTCTTCGTAGGGAAAAAGGGCGCTGTAATAACCTAAGATTTGCAACTGTTCTTTTGCCCGTGCGCGAATAGCTTTAGATTGGATGAAAGCCGCCATAGCCTTAAGGTGTTTCGAGGTTCTGGTAATTTTGCTTATAACAGGCTAGAGTATGCCGATTAACTTAAAGCCACAAGCAAGTTGGTGTCTCAACTTTTAATGTTGAATTCTCTAAGGACCCTGCTTTATGTAACTTTACTATTTCTACCAGCCTGAATGATCGCTATGCTTGTGCTCGTGATCGAAATCGCTACGCAGTATCTGGCCATGTGTTACTTGATACACAGGAAAAAGCTGCAAGATATCGAGAATTATAGATTAAGCGCTCTAATTGGTTTTTCGAATAAATCAATCGTTGTCTCTCAAATGATCAGATCTCAACAAAGTAGTCCTAACGGCATCGAAATTCTGCACGATCTGAGCAGACAATGCGCTAATAGTAGTGGAATCGCACACACGTCGATATCACCAAGGGTGAGGAGCTACGTGCAAGATACGTGAGTAAACACTAGCTTTGACGTAATTCTGTGATCATTCATTCCAGTTGTAACGTTGTGATTTCATATCTGACGCTTGATGATGTCTTCGCGCATTTCAGTCGTAGTAGTCCCTTTTTTGCCACAGAAAAAATAAATTTAGGCATCCTTTTTACCAAGAACAATTCACTCTAGAAGGATATCAGAGTTTACACAAATCCTTCTAACTATTATAATTAAACACTGAATCTTAAATCTCATATCTGCTCCTTATTACGACCCTAATATGACGACTGAGGTTGTTGTTATTAGACTTCGGTCTGAAATAGACTTAAACCATTCATTCTTCGACAACGATGGAGAATTCACGGCCATCTTGCGTGACATCAGCGCTGCAGCTGAATTCACTCGGGGCTTTTGGGGCATTGAAGACGAAGACAAAACCCTAGTACGAGTGTTCGTAAATTGGAGCCCAGTTTGCGATGTCAAAGACGAGTACGTAGCTGTCTGTATTTCTCAGGACGTCTGTTTACACACGCTCATCGTGCATAGTGGTTTAATAAGCAGCAGCTTCACGAATCTAAAAGAAGTCATGTCTGTTGACGTTTATCATGTCGCATTCTTGCC